CACACGCTCTGGGAATGCAACACAGGCAGATATGACTACAGGTGCATAACACACAACAAGAAAATAAAAATAAGCAGCAAACAGAGAAAGACAAGAAACAAAAAATGGAGTTCAAAAAGTGAATGTCTAAAATATAACAATAATTGTAATAATTACATTTAAATGTAGTCAATTTAATCATATATTTTGTTTTATAAAACCTAAAAATTAAACAGAATTATTCTAAACATTAATAAATAATATTACAATAAAATAATATTTTGCATAATTAAGTTATTATACAAAACATTCGCTATATTATGTTGTTTTTTATTTAAAAACAGCTGAATTAAATTGGTTTAATTGTTATTTATCTTTATTTATATTTCCCTTATTTAAAATAACTAAACAACAAACATAGAAATAAGCAAAATAAAACAAAGCAGCACACACAGAAAGACAAGAAACAAAAAATAGAAAAAAGTGCACTTAAAAGTGAATGTCCAAAATAATTTATCGACATGTAATAAATTAAATATATATATATATATATATATATATATATATATATATATATATACATATATATATGTATGAATCAGGGGCATTGTTAGACCCCATTTACCAGAAAACGCTTTGAAATTCACTTAATATGCAAGTGTATTTATTAAGAGAGGTTATCCCAGAATTAGGACGTTATTCAGTATGTGTAACCAAACCAACGCTAACGAAAGCTATTTATGTATGCAATATTTTTTATTTATTTATTTATTTTTATTTATTTGTTTATTTATTTGTTTGTTTGTTTTTGTATGTTTTTTTGGAGGGGGTGCTGTGCCCTAGTAGAGCTTTATGTCCAGCAATGCCCCCAGTATGAATATTTTGTATTAAACAAAAATTGTTTTAGGGTGTTTTTTATTAAAATAAAACAGCTAAATTAAACTAAATTGGTTTCATATTTTTTATTATATGATTTTATCAAACTTTTACTGTATATTTAACCCATTTCAAATAATAAAATAACAAATATAGAAATAAACTAAATAAAACTAAACAGCACACACATAAAAAATGTGAAAGTAAATGTCTAAAATCTCTCATTCTCTCATATATATATATATAATTTTAGATTTTTTATTTAGTGATTTTATCTTTTTAATATTTCAAATATTTCAAATATCAAAAACATTTCAAATAATTTAGCAAACAATAATAAAAACAACAATAATAATAATAATAATAATAATGTATCATATCTTATAATGCAGTGCCTTTAACTCATATTTAAAAAAATGCATTTTCACACAACATTGGAGCAAATTTATAGTGCATTGTAATCATATTAACATAAACATGGCCTACAAAAGCCTACAAAAATATGATAAAATATAATACAACAGTGCATGTAGCCACATGCAACTCATTAAATGTCTGCCAATGTATAACTTACACTGTTTCAAATAATATATCACATAAAAAATATTGTAAATATATCCCATAATGAAAAAATATATATTTGACTTTATAACTTTATTATAAAAAATTTAAAAAAAGACACAGATATGTTTATTTTTTGTGCCGGGCAAAGATTAATCTCGATTATTCACATCCAAAATAAAAGTGTGTTTTGTAATATATGTAATTATATGTGAGTGTGTGTTGATAAATATATGTATTATGTAAATGTGATACAAAGAAAAATGAATGATACACAAACAAAACATACATAGATAAAAAACTATAGAAAACAATTTTGTGACAGATATTTAAATCAATACATAATTTGTATCATATGCACATGTATTTTATATCTAAATATAAATAAACATTCTCAAATATATGCATGCATGTGTGTATTCATACACATAATAAAGATACACACATGTTTAAATTAAGTCAAAGCAAACTTTTATTTTGGATGTGATTAATCGTGATTAAAGCACTAATTTCTTACATTGCATGGATACATAATCATAAAAACAAGTCAAAAGCATGCTACTGTTAGTTTAAGAAAAAGTCAACAGTACCACAAAATCCTCTTCTCCTCCAGCTGATAATGATGTGTTGTTGAGCACACTCGCGCACGTAGCTCGCTAGTGTGTCACACACAGCAGTATCTCTGTCTTTTACCTCCAAACTGCAGAACAGATACAGGCAGGTGTCAATATACGGCCCGGGATCCACCTGGAGAACACAAGATTAAAGAGTTAGTCAGGAGGAATAAAGTTTCGTTTATTTAAAGTGTATTTTTCTCTCACCTGATGATGGCAGTGAGAGAACGGAGTCTCTTTCAGAAGATGACAGGCTGATTCTGCATCTCTCCGTAGAGAAACATCATTGGACAGATCACAGCTGTGGCCCAATTCAGCAGCATCACTGCACACCTGACACAAATTACAGCACATCAGCTCTCCACTACCCACAATGCCTTTAGACTGCATTTGTGTACTTTTCAGAAGCAATGGAAGTGTTTTTCAAGGGATGCAATGTATACTGTATTATATATATTTTTTATTTTATTATATTATTAACAGATTATATTAGATTTTATTAATTTATATTTTATTTTATTTTATTTTATTAAATTATATTATATTAAAATATATTATATTATATTATATTGTATTATATTATATTTCATGAAATTAAATTTAATTATAATATATTATATTATATTTCATGAAATTAAATTTTATTATATTATATTTTATGTTATTTTATTTTATTTTATTTTATTTTATTTTATGTTAAATTAAATTAAATTAAATTAAATTAAATTAAATTAAATTAAATTAAATTAAATTAAATTTAATTTAATTTAATTTAATTTTGTTATACTATATTATATTATATTATATATTATATTATATTATATTTTTTATTATATTATATTTTATTTTATTTTATTTTTAATTGTTTTTTTTTATTATATTTTATTATTTTATGTTAAATTAAATTAAATTTTATTTTATTTTATTTTATTTTGTTATATTATATTATATTATATTATATTATATTATATTATATTATATTATATTGTATTATATTATATTATATTTTATTTTATTTATCTGCTTAAACTCATTTATTATTAGTTTTTATTTATTTATTTTTTTTTATATTGTTAATCTGTTAAAAAAAGTATGTGTTATGTAATTTATAATTTCTTAAAGTAAGACAGACTTAAAATTCTAATATATTGCATTTTTACACATCAAACAATTAATTTAAAGCTACCAGCATACCTGCAATGATATTAAAAAGGTTGACACCAATGTATAATAATTACATGAAGGCAATCAAATTTATTTAATGTTTATTATTAATTTTCATTTGAGTACAATCATATCGTGTTTCAGATAACATATAGTCCTCAGTATGCAACCTTAAATGAAATTACAATATACAGACATAAACAATTACCAGCTTCATTACCTATATAGTATACTCAATTTTTGCTAAATTATAATAAGAAAAGTATGAATGCTATTCAGTAGCTCTCTTGCCTATTTTCAAAGCAGTTTAGCCATGTGTATCTAAAAGCAGCATATCACCTGGCTTTGTTGTTGATCTTGTACGCGCCATGAGTTTCCAAAGCTGGCAGCGTACTGAGACACACTTCCAGTGCTGGTAGTGAAGTCATCTGAACAAAATAAAAACATCATATTGCAAATTGCATTAATAAATGGTGTATGATGCAAAGAGTTTCTTAAGTTACTCAAAAATGTAATAGATTACACATCTACATGCTAAATGTATTTACCATCAGGATTGTTGTTATAAACTCCACAAAGTCCTCTAGTGTTTGTGAGGTGTTCTGCAGTAACTGTCAGATAGATGGTGTTCTCCATGTCAAACTTCAGTCTGACGCCCAAACCACTCTCCACAAACACAAAATCCCCCAGCCAATGAACACTGACTCCTGATGCACATGCAAAACACACACGTTTACATCTTTAATAATACACAGTAATAGGTAAAAGCTAAGTACATAACATAAATATTATATCAGCTTTCTCTAAGAACAGAAACACTCCAGGGTCATTATTAAATACAACAAAACCTAAAGGTATTATTTAAAAAAAAAAACATTATGTTAATTGAAATTGTACATAACGTAACATGACACAACGTAACAAATCGCAATGCAATATAACGTTATGCAAGGTGACATAATGCAACGCAACACAATGTAGCGTTAAGTAACATAACGCAACCAAATGCAATGCAATGCAACCCAACGCAACGTAACTGAACTTAATTTACTTAACTTAAATTAACTTACTTAAAATAAAGTAAGGTTAGGTAACGTAATGTAATGCAATGTAATGTATCTGACTGAATTTAGTTGCCTGAAACAGTTACTTAACTTACTGAACTAAACTTAACCTAACGTAACATAACATATCAAAACATATTGTAATGATGTAACTTGACGCAATGTAACGTGACGCAATATAATGCAACCTACTTCACCTAAATTCACTTAACGTAACTTAACATAATATAAAGTGTGGTAACGTAATGTAACAACGAAATGTAACTGACTGAGATAAGTTGCCTGTAATAGTTACTTAACATAACTTAGCATAACATAAATTACATAACATAACTCAACGTGACAAAACTTGACTTAACAAAACTTAACGTAAGGTAAGGTAACGTAACGTAAGGTAACGTAACAGAATGTAACATAACTGACTAAATTTAATCGCCTAAAACAGTTACTTAACTTACTTAACTGAACTTAACCTAACGTTACATAATGTAACATATCATAACGTGACGCAACGTAACGCAAATTATTTCAGTTAAATTAACTTACTTATCTTAACGTAACTTAACATAATGTAAGGTGAGGTAGCGTTATGTAACAATGCAACCTAATTGACTGAATTTAGTTGCCTGAAAAAGTTACGTCACGGAACTTAACGGAACATAACGTAATGTAACGCAACACAACGTAACATAACATAACTTAACGTAACATAAGGCAATGTAATGCAACACAACGTAAAATAACGTGACAATGTAACACAATGCAATGTAACACAATGTAACATAACACAACATAACTTAACTTACTACACTTAAATTGACTTACTTAACTTACGTAACATGACATAATGGAAGGTGAGGTTATGTAATGTAACATAACATAACGTTACTGACTGAATTTATGTGCCTGAAACAGTAACTTAACTTATTTAACAAGACGTGATGTAACACAGCACAACGTAATGTAACTTAACTTAACTTACGTACTTAAATTAATTAAAGTAAGTTTGTAAATGTAAGGTGAGGTAATGTAATAACGTAACTGACTGAAAATAGTTGCCTGAAACAGTTACATAACCTAACCTAACTTGACTCGTACTATTTTTGGAAGAGAGGTTCTCCACTTAATGATAAACTGGTGTCTGTCAAATATTTAAAAATATAAATTTAAATAACAAAAAAGTAAATAAAAATATAAGAAATGTTGCCTTGTCCGCCTGAACATATCTGCCAAAAGCATTACATTATATAAAGCTAAAACTGAAAATAAATATTACTGTACCATTCTGAAAGAGCGGTTCTCCCTGAGGTACAGCTAAACCATTAACAGTCATGTTGTCTTTATGAATAGAAACCAAGCCGAGACCCAACATCATCCGCAGATCCTAAAAACACAACGTCAACAGCACATGGTAACAATTAAAAACAACATGAACAACACAGATAACAAAGTGTTCAAAGTAAACATCAGTTCCAGTTTGCCTGAGTGAAGTTTGAGGCAGGCTGCCATGTTTCCGGCATGCTGTCCAATAGTTTTCTGGGTCATTTGTAGAAGCAGCTGTTCACTTGTTCTGAATGATTGATTGTGTTTGATAGCTCATAATGCACTGGAACACTTGAAGCCAGATGTAAAGGATGAGTGTAATGTTCTGTGATAAGATTAGACTTTTTCTGTATTGTTCATCTATGAGTCACAAAAATGATAATACATGTTTCCTAAAAGTTTGGACTATCACAGTTAAGCATTTTGCAGGATTTTACATTAACAATACATTCAGTTTACTGTACATCACATGTCATTCCTGTTGATGGAACACAAATGTAAAATGCTTGAATCGCACCTGCACTTCTGTAATAAATCATGTGTGAGTGTGTGTGTGTGTGTGTGTGTGTGTGTGTACCTTCCTGCAGCGTCCGCTGGTCTCACACACTGTGCTGATGTACACAGCCCACGTCCCGTCAGTGGATGAAGCCAGCAGGTACGTGCAGCTGCCCTGGAAGTGGAAGTGTTTGCGGTCGAAGGTGCGGAAGTGTGTCCCGCTCCAGCTCATACAGGTGGAGGAGGCCTGCGGGTCACGGACACCCCGTAACAGCCCACCGCGGACCACTGGGGACGAACCCACATCTGAGGAGAGATAAAAACAGTTGTTTAACCCCAACAACCATCAATATGCACTACTATGTGTTGTTCTGAAGACCTGTTTTGCTTCCTTTTTACAAAAAAAATAAGTCTCTGGTGTCCCTAGAGTGTGTAGTAAAGTTTCAGCTCAAAGTAGCACACAGATATGTGTTATACCTCTCTGAAACTGAACCCCTGGTGTTTTGGTGTCTATCGCTTTAAATGCAAATGAGATTGTGCTCTTTTCAGAAGAGGGCGGAGCTACACATGCCTGTGTGTCAGCCATAGTGACGTATTCAAAAGCAAGGCTAAAGTCCTATGCTAATGAGGGAGAGATGGTCACTAGTGGGCGGGGCTTTCCCCCTCTGATGACACGTACAAAGGGAGAATGTCAATCAAAGTGCTTCTGCAGACTGCTTATATCAAGTCTATTTATAAACAATTACATTTATAAATGTATTAATAGTCACCAGTTTCCAACATTATTCAAACTATCTTCTTTTGTGTTTAACAGAAGAAAGAAACTCAAAGACAGCTGATGTGTGTGAGTGCAGTGCTGACCTGGCAGGAGTGTGTATGTGCAGGACAGACAGGTGTGGTCGGAGGCGTTCCTCCAGCTCAGAGCCCACAGGTGACCGCAGCACTGCTCCAGCGCCATCAGAGACGAGTTCTGGACCCCCGGAAACTCCTCACACGTCCAGGTGGAGAAACACTGACCGCGAACACTCACACCTGTACACACACACGCACAAACACACACAAACATACATAAAAATATGCAAACACAAACAAACATAAATAAACACATGCACACGGACACACAACACACGGACACACACGCATGCATGCATACCTAAATATACACAAACACACACACAAATGTACATAAACATACAAACATAAATATACACACACAAGCATGCACACACACACACACACACACACACACACACAGACACACCCACACACATAAAAATATGCAAACACACACAAACATAAATAAACACATGCACACGCACACACAACACATGGACACACACGCATGCATGCATACCCAAATACACACAAACACACACACAAATGTACATAAACATACATACATAAATGTACACACACAAGCATGCACACACACACAAACACACACACACATACATACATACATAAAAATATGCAAATACTCACACACAAGACACAAACACAGTACACACACACACAACCCACATACACACACATACATCCATAAAATAAGCAAACACACACACACGCACACAACACACACACAAACAAAATACACACACACATACATACAACACACACACACACGCACACATATGCATACACACACACACACACAACCCACATATACACACACTTATGCACAAAAGGCAAACATATACACACACTCATGCACGCGCACACACACAAACACACACGCATAAAATATGCAAACACACACAAAACACAAACGAACGCAAACACAATACACATTTGCACACGAAACACACACACATGGACAACACACACACACACACACAACATCAAAACATGTCCACAGCAGAAATAGCAGCACATCAGTGTGTGATCATCATATCTACAGTAGAGTCAGTGATGGTCACCCTGTGTGCAGTGTGGTCCAGTCCAGCCTTCACAACACTGCCTGACTGTCCGGTTCACCACCTCTGTCTCGATGTCAGGAGGTCTAACAGATACAAACACACACTTTTATCATCAGTTCACAACTTCTGCTTAATAAAACACTGCAGATGATCATATAACTACACAATAACACATATTAGTTTATAAAAACTCCATTCGTTTTTAAACATATATTAATTTATTGTTGTTTTACATGTCTAAAAATCACACTTAAAATTGTATAATATATATTTGTTCTCAAATAATACACAGTTGTTATGAAAACAAATGAAACTATGACAAGAATATTAATTGTTTAAACTCATTTTACTGCTTCTTTTGTCATATATATATATATATATATATATATATATATATATATATATATATATATATATATATATATATATATATATATATATATATATATTAAAAAATATTAGATTGAGTCTCCTGGTTGAGAGCTACTGGGTTACACCAACAGTAAATGACTCTCACAAGTAAAAACTGCACTTTTATAACACTCACACACCTAAAACCTATGTCAGAAATATGATGGAGGGATCAGAACAGTGATGTTTCTCTCACTTGAATATGTAGCAGGCAGCTTTAGGGCCTTGTCTCTGGTAATATCGAGCGATGCCGTCGTCTCCTCCGTGTTCGTGCCGCATGCGCTCCACATCCAGCCTCCAGCCCTGAGTGTTGAACTGATAAACAGAGGAGCAGTCCACCTCCTGCTGCTGACGGGGAGAAACCAGTCTCTCCACCTGCTCCTCGACCACCTGCTCACACCAGTGCCTGAACATGAAGATGCATACAGTTTCACCTTATAGATCCCTATACTGTCTGATAACTTCATTGACATTGATTACAATGTAATTATGAAAAAAAGTATAACACCTATAATAAATGTAAAAAGGTAGAAATAGTCTTGCAATAATCCCCGACACGACACTCTCAGAAATAAAGGAATAAAGGTACAGTAGCTGTCACTGGGGTGGTACCTTTTCTAAAGGTACAAATTTGTACCTTAAAGGTCCCTATTAATACCTCAAGGGGACATATTAGTACCTAAAAAGTACAAAAGAGTCACTATTGAAATATTTAAGTACTAACATATACTTTTGTGGTACCAATATGGACCCTTTAAGTACAAATGTGTACCTTTTTAAAGAGTACCACCCCAGTGACAGCTCGTGTACTTTTATTTCTGAGAGTGTATTTCAATGAGTGCCATATAGGGTTCAATGGTTAATGCTCAGTGTCAAGGGTCTTGATATAATACAGCTTGACTGAAAAATTAATATTATAAATGAGTATGTTATTGTGGTAAAATCTCTCACCCCATGACTATAACCAGATTAAACCCCAGCAGAGACACCAGCAGAGCCTTCATTGTGTTTCTGAAGAGCTGAAGGTCTTCACCATCCAGACTGCAAAGAGAGTAATCTGATTAAATAAAAGCATCCAATGAAAATAAAATACAGTCAACTTCATTTATACTGTTTATTTAAGCAATTTACTTTCGTTATTTTTGACCTATTTAAGCTTAAATGCTTGAAAAGAATTCAAAAGACAACCAGTATAATATTTGGTCTAAATTTATATTAAGTTTACTTACATTTAATTAAATTATTTGGTACGACACACTTATTATGAACATACATTTTTACATTGTACTTACTGTATACAGTTGAAGTCAGAATTATAAGCCCACCTGAATTATTATAGCGCTTGTTTATTTTCCCCCCAATTTCTGTTTAACGGAGAGATTTTTCCAACACATTTCTAATCATAATAGTGTTAATAACTCATCTCTAATAACTGATTTATTTTATCTTTGCCATGATGAAAGTAAATAATATTAGACTAGATATTCTTTTAAGATACTTCTATACAGCTTAAAGTGACATTTAAAGGTTTAACTAGGGTAATTAGGTTAACTAGGCAGGTTAGGGTAATTAGGTGAGTCATTGTATAACAGTGGTTTGTTCTGGAGACAATGCAAAACTAATATTGCTTAAAGGGGCTAATAATTTGACCTTAAAATGGTGTTTAAAAAATGTAAAACTGCTTTTATTCAAGTAAAAATAAAATGAAATTTGGGAAATATTTAAAAAAGAAAAAAAATTCAAAGGTGGCGAATAATTCTGACTTCAGCTGTGTGTGTGTATGTATATATATATATAATTTCTATACTTCTATCAAGTCAAGATTCAAGTCAAAATTATTATTATCATAAGGTCAATGGGCAACTATTGGTGCAGCACATAATTCATAAACATCACACAAAACAAGTAACACACATGGGGCCCTATCATACACCCGGCGCAATGTGGCAATGTGGCTAGTTTCAGCTCGGCGCAAGAGTCATTTTGACATTTTGCACCAAGCTGTTAAAATAGCAAAGGCATTTGCACTCATATGTGCGCCCATAGGCGTTCTGCTCTAAAAAAGCAGGCGTGTTTTGGTGCGTTACTATTTTGAGAAACTATAATAGTCTGTTCTTTAGCCAGAACAAAGCCGGTCTATTGTCCGGCGCAGAGCTGCGCCTCGATTACACACTGCCTAATACACACAAGATGTAGAGCAATACGCAAATATCTTTACATATAAAAAAGAATATATATATATATATATATATATATATATATATATATATATATATATATATATATATATATAAAGGATTAAAATATTACAAAACATATTTTTTTCTAGCCTACATGAATTTAAAAACCACTGCCTTCATGCTTTCTTCATCTTGGGGGCTTTTTCAGCTCATTCAATTTGCTTTTAATGTTATTATTATTAGCAGTATTATTTATTATTTGCATATTTATATTTGTTTTATTAAAAACAAGCTGATTTGTCCACCTGCAGGTTTTAGACCATATGGGGCACAGCATGTGTTTTAGGATATAACTCAGGTTTTTGAACACATTTTGTTATTATTGTTCATTTATTCGTTTGCTGGACATTAGAACTGAATTTAGAAATAGTTTTGAAACAAATCTTTGTGCTTAACAAACGAAATTAATTATGTGTAGGCTAATTGATGTCTGTGCGTAAAGGTTTCCCTATCCATGAGAGTGAAAGTGAAAGGTAATAATTTATCTCTCATTCTCGAGCTGCAGATGCTCTGTTTAACTGTTTTCTTGCTAGTGAAATGCTCAGTTTTTCCACTTACACTTACTTTACGTCATGTAAATAGCAAATACACCCGTGGCATGACGCAACTGGCTCTTAAAGGGAATGGGAGATGAGACTCTGTTTGTTTTATTCTCAAAACACACCTATAACTCATTAAGAGAATAAGCTCAACCCTTTTAGACCATGCGCCATGGCGCAAAGCAAATTTTCCGTCCTTAAATTAGCAAAAGTGGATTCCAACACGCCTTGAAAGCGTTTGCGCCCTGCGCTTTGCACTTTGAGATTTGACAATTTAATATTAAATCTGCTTAAAAAGATTAAAAACAAAACATTTCAGGAAAGTACATTTGAAAAATATTTAAGCATTCTGAAACAATGTAACGAGACTAAAACATAATAAATAAGTAATAAATTCAACTAGACATTTAACAATTTCTGTATAAATGCTTATCAAAAGTTTATTTGTTTAGAGCTTTTCACAAGAAATCAACAAAGCAGCTTTACAAATGGTGTAAACAAGGTGTCAGGTGATTTTAAGGACAAAAATAAAACAACATGTTGTGTGTATCTTTATCATACATGTATCATGTTAAGTGAACTAGCATACATGATGCAACTTGAATATTTGAAAGTCAGGTCCTTTATTAGCATTATTTTAAAAAATCCTGGATTTCACACAATTCCTTCATGTTGTCCCAACATAAATTAACTTGATTGTTTTTTACAAATTTAAGTGGATTGAAGATAATACAAATTGTGATTGAAACAATTGTGTTGTTACAACTAATTTTTTATAAGTAGTTTGAACAAGCAGCAGACGGTTTTGAGTGTAACTACAATAACTCAAGAAAACAATCTATGAGCAATCTATAAATCATATTATTTTGTGCTGTAAACATAATCAATTATTCATTCATTAATTTTCTTTCAGCTTAGTTATTTTTACTAGGGGTCGCCACAGTGCAATGAACCAGCAACTATTCCAGCATATAATTTACACACACTCAAAAAAATTTATTTTATTTTATTTTTTGCTTGTTCAAACTACTTAATTAAAAACGAGCTGAAACAACACAATTCCGGAGATTTCATTGGGACAATTTAATATATGTTCAAAACTGTTAAGTAACTTAATAAATTTGTGTTGGGACAAAATGAATGAATTGTGTAGAACCCTTAATTTTTTACAGTGCAATGGATGCCCCTTCACTGCAAAACATGCAGGGTTTCACACAACTTATTCATGTTGTCCCAACACAAATTGATTAAGTTTTTTTGTGAAATTTATGTGGATTAAACATAAAAAATTAAGTTGTCCTAATGAAATCTCAAGAATTGTGTTGTTTCAGCTCAATTTAAATAAATAATTTGAACAAACATTTTTTTGAGTGAGCACGCATGCAAGCGCACACGCACACACACACACACACACACACACACACACACACACAATGACCAATTTAGCTTATTCCAGTGGTTCTCAAACCGTGGTACGTGTACACAAGCTTCCTTCTAGTGGTACGCTGAAGTATCAATGAATAATTAAAGTAAAAAAAGAAAACACTTTCAACCCTTTAACGCATAACACTGATGTTATCAGTAAATTGATTTTAACAGGGTAAATCTTTTATTTTATTTTACATTTTCTAATGTTTGTTATGTGATCCATCATTTAAAGCCATCTCATCCCCATATTTGTAATGATTGTTGGGGCGTATCACGTATTTTAATATCCCAGGTATGGTTTAATTATATTTAATTAAAGGCTTTTCCAACACACAAAGCCTACTCTAATGCACAGTAAGCAGATCTAATATCAAATTAAAATATATGATCAAACTCATATATTTAACAAACAAGTTAATATTTAGATTTCATTATTTCATTTTTTTTGCTTAATTAGGCCTGTTACTCTACTGTATTTTAATACTGGTCATTATCATGGTACTTGGAGAGCCCTTTTTTTCTAAGGTGTTACTTGTTGAAAACAATATTTAACTTTTAGCAACCCAAAGAAATTGTGTTGATAACTCACACTAATGGAGTTGTCTTCTGTTTTTAAGTCCACACACCTGATGCTTTTTGTTGTTATTTTTTTATACAACTGAATTTGTTTTCAATTTTAATTAAAAAAAAATATTTTTTGGAGTACTCAACTTAAAAGCTTGAGGTTTTTGCTATGTAAAAATGCCTCTGATTGAAGAGGAAAAGATTTGGCCAACATAATAAAGTTTGATGTCTGAACTTCATTTTGTTAGATGTTTTCATAACTTCAATATATTAATGCAAACTGTTCCGTTCATTTATTTAATTTTTTTTGTTTTGTTTTATCTAAACAATATTTTTAGAGTGCAATTTCTTTTACATATTATACATATTAATCAAGACGTTGGACAACAGTGTTTTGTTATGTAGCCAATTAAAATGTAATAATATATTTATTTCTTACGGGGGCTAATAATATTAACAGACAAAATAAAAAAATAAACAAGACTTCATCCAAAAGAGAAAGATAATGGGAAATACTTTAAAGGAGGGTCTAACTTTAACTGTATATGAACACATACAACGTTAACAACACTACACTCAAAAAAATGATGTTTGCTGTTTGTTCAAACTACTTCATTAAAATGAGCAGAAATAACACAGTTCATGTGGAGGGTTGTGCGACAACTGTATTGCTTTCAGAGATGGCAAAAGTACACACATCCTTTAATTAAGTAGAAGCACAGATACTCATGTTTAAAACGACTCTGGTAAAAGTAAAAGTACTGACTACACGTTTTTACTTAAGTAAAAATAAAGAAGTACGGCCTCAAAACCACAGTCCAAAACCATGCAGTATAGGTGAATAATAGGTAACTAAATTTGCAGTAGTGTATAAGTGTGTGTAAACGTGAGTGTGTATGGGTGTTTTCCAGTACTGGGTTTCAGCTGGAAAGGTATCCACTGTGTAATTCATATGCTGGAATAATTGGCGGTTCATTCTGCTGTGGTGACTCCTGATAAATCAGGGACAAAAAAAGTGTAAAGCATACACTCAATGCATCACTTAGCGGGTTTCCACACAAGTTTCTGCATCTTGTTTATATACGAACAGCAACTACGCTAATTATTCTCTTTATTCTCTATTTCCACCTGGGAATACTCATCCCAAGGTCCTCAGATTATGTGGAGTCATTGATTGGATCCAAGACCAGCGACAAGATGATCCTAAGGTTTTCATATCCAGCTGCTATGCTGGTCATGGGGAGTGGAGAACATGAGACTGATTCCATTGACGCTCCAGGGACAGACGAGTCTTCGCTGAGGCCAGCTTCCAGCCTCCACCGCTGAGACTGCAGCTCTGCACAAGACGTTTGGCCAGCGGAGAAATTAAAATGGTCGTGCCCAACTGAGTCTGGTTCTCTCAAGGTTTTTTTCTTCACTCTCCTATCGGTGAATTTTTTGCCCTCTCCGCTGTCGCGACTAGCTTGCATGGTTCAGGATTGGTAGAGCTACCCATCGATGGATTTGCTCTTCAGTGTTTGGACTCTCAGTAATGATTTTAAAGCACACTGAACTGAGCTAAACTGAACTGAACTGTGGTATTCCACAAGGATCAGTTTTAGGTCCAATAATATTTATAATTTACATTAATGATATGTGTAAGATATCAGAGTTTATTTTATTTGCAGATGATACAAGTATTTTTTTGTTCTGGGCATAATTTACCAAAACTTATGAAGTTGATTAAAACAGCAATTTATAAATTGAAATTTTGGTTTGACGTAAACAAATTGTCATTAAATATAAATAAAAATAATAACAATCTGTATGTACAATGCAGAACTAATAGAACATGTGGGGTATTTGGAGCATACAAATCCTTCATTTTTTTAAATTCAAGATACTCAAGTTCAATGACTTGGTTACATTTAAAACAGCACAATTTATGTTTAAAGCTAGGAATAAACTACTTCCAAAATGCATACAAAAGTTTTTTGAAGAACAAAAAGGGGGATATAACCTGAGAGAAGAAGTCAATTTTAGGAGGTTGAGAACAAGAACAACTTTAAAAGGTTTGGGTATGTCTGTATGTGGTGTGAAATTATGGAAGAGTCTAGATCAGACTCTCAAACAACGTCAGGAAAATAATCAATTTAAAATACTGTATAAATATAAATATATATATATATATATATATATATATATATATATATATATATATATATATATATATATATATATATATATATATATATATATATATATATATTAAAGGAATATAATGATGAAGGTGATTAAAAAAGGGTAAAAAGAGAAAGATAAGATGCAATTTTAATTAATTGCATTCGCAGTACTGTTTGTTTCTTTTTTCTATTTGTATATATACTTTTATTTTTTCTCTGGGAATATGTTACAAAATGTAAAGGTACAAATGGAATCAAACATATAATTTGTCAAGGATGCCATAAGGATAAAATATGTCTCATGTAAAAAGAAGAGATAAGTAAAAGAAGAAATAAGTTTAAGTCAGTGGTTCTCAAACTGTGGAACGTGTACCACTAGTGGTACGCAGGCTTCCTTCTAGTGGTACGCGGAGAAATTAAATATGTCATGTACATGCTGCACACATTTCAAAATTTATCAAAAATGATGTATATAATATGCCATATATGACAAATAGCCTATATTTCTGAGGTAATCTGCCACATTTTTTAACTGTGCAGAGTTTTAGCTGCTTAACTAGGTCTACTACACTACTGTATTTCAATATTGCTCATTTTGGTGGTACTTTAAGAGACAATTTTTTTCTGAGGTGGTACTTGATGATAAAAGTTTGAGAACCACTGATTTAAGTAATAAATGAATGATGTATGTGGTAATGGGGTAAGAAAATAATAAGCTTGTGCTTCATCCAGCCTGATCTCACGAGAAAACGTAAGTATTTTACGTTTTGGCAGTTTAGTGGCTAATTCGTACGAATTCGTACAAGTTCAGTCGTAAGAAAATGTAAGATTTGAAAAAAGGAGGCGTGGCACCTAACCCCACCCCTAAACCCAACCGTCATTGGGGGATACGCAAATCGTACTAAAATTTACGAATTAGATCATACGAATTTGTACGAATTAGCCACTAAATGAAAAAGTTACGAATTGCCGTGAGATTGTGTTGGCTTCATCCCACTCCATTTTCGACCATGTTGAAATGTATTTTTTTGTTAAAAATATTTTATGTATGATATTTTTTTAGAAAATAAATAAATCAAATCAAATCAAGATGTAAACCCTAAAAACTGAACTAAACTGTTCCAGTTACTATGACCATTTATGTGAAGCTGCTTTGACACGATCTACATTGTAAAAGGGCTTTACAAATAAAGCTGAATTGAATTGAGACAAAGCTGAAGGATAGTGAGTGAGAAAGGTATGTAACTAGTCCTCACATCCTATTGATACATTAATATTAAATAACTGACATTTCCAATTTGTATGTAAAATGTTTGTTGCCAAATTTACGAAAGTAGCCATGCAGCATCAAACTCTGCAATATAGCCTAACAACATCGCTTAAAAACGCGGCCAGTGAATCATCATCCTGACGCAAACTCACATTTGCTTTACATTCAATCCACTTCAATTTGTAAAAATTAACAAGTTAATTAAACGTATTATTTGCAAAATAATAATAATAAAAAAAGAAATAAAATTAAAGGGGCTAATAAGTCCCTAACTGTTGTGCAATACATTACAAAACACAATAACTACATTGTACTTATTTATTTTCATGTAAATACCTAGTAGTTACTAACCTATATATGCAGTTGAAGTCAGAATTATTAGCCTACTGTTTATTATTTACCTCAATTTCTGTTAAAAGCTGAAGGATTCCTTCATGTTGTCGCAACACAAATAGATTGTGCATAAACCCAGCCTTTTTTCCAGTGTAACAACATTTACAAATAAAAAAGTGTTGCATGCAGAACTGTTGCAAACAATTTATTTGTGTTGAATTTAAACAAACAAATTAAGTTTAATAATGTTCAACTTAATTTGTTTGTTTAAATTCAACACAAATAAATTGTTTACAACCCTTCAACGTTAAAAAGTTGAGTAAATCCAAGGAATCATCTTTGAATATTTTTTTTTCAGTGCAATTAAACACACAATCAGCAACATAAGCGTGATCGAATTCTGCAGACAACACTTACCTGAATCTTTAGTATTCCTCAGAAACACAAAACACAAAAAAGTATTCCTTTATCTGTATTGATTCCTATAATCCTCCTGTTATTCCACAATCATATATCGGATAAATCTCCGTCTTGACTCATCCACAGATGTTGATTGGCTATTTTTGCTGTGCTTTAGTGTAGGTGTGTGTGTTTTAAGCTCAGAAAGTGGACGTGTCTGTGGCAGCATGTGTGCAGAGTACCATTGGTGGACCATTCAGCAGGTCACAGCTGTAAACGCATCCATTAGCTGCTCATTTGGTGACGCGGCTGAAATAGAAGCGAGGCTAGACGAGCTGGTGGAGATGCTCTGATGGAGGCCTGTTTGTGCAGGTCTAATCCTATAAAGACTCACTTTGGTGGCAGGATTTCGGGGGCGTTTATTTAATAAAGTAAGTCAATAGGTGAGGAGCAGGGGGCATGTAAACGCAGGCGACATCTCGGGGGTTTCCGGACACAAACACAGCTGCCACCTTTCAACATTTCCTTTACAGTAACAGAAGATTTACTATTAATTTCACTATACGGTTGAAGGCAGAATTATTTGCCCTCCTGTGAATTTCCCAAATGATGTTGAACAGATTCAGAAATTTTTCACAGTATTTCCTATAATATTTTTTCTACTGGATAAAGTCTTATTGGTTTTATTTTAGCTAGAATAAAAGCAGTTTTTAATTTTTTAAAGCCATTTTAGGGTCAATATTATAAGCCCCCTTAATCTGCATTGGCTTTAGATTATCTCCAGAACAAACCACTGTTATACAATGACTTGCCTAATTACCCTAACTTTACCCTAATTAACCTAGTTAAAATATAAAAATATCTAGTCTAATATTAGGTGCTGTCATCCCGGCAAAGATAAACCATGCAATATTGTACATGAATGAGTGACCTTTGACTTTAGAGGTGACCATTGTACTGCATCCACTTCCACTAATCTCTGCTTAACATGCAAAATCTTTGTGAAATGTTCAGCTTGACTTCCTGAAGAGGGTAAATAGTCTGGATTTGTGATGCTTTTGAAACACTGATCTATTTAAACAGAGTTACTAAAAGTTAACTATGAATAGTAAAATACATATTGTTTAAATTATAACATTCATTCATTCATTTATTTTCTTGTCGGCTTAGTCCCTTTATTAATCCATGGTCGCCACAGCGGAATGAACCACCAACTTATCCAGCGAGTTTTTACGCAGCGGATGCCCTTCCAGCCGCAACCCATCTCAGGGAAATAAATTATAATATGACCTACAAAATGTTTACTGAAATAAAAGGTTTTAATTCCAGTTATTCCAATTTATGCCATAAAATATCTTAGTTATATGTAAAGAGAATGTTCCTCTTGTGAAATTTTTATTATTTTGCACTGTTTAACAGTGAGGACAAACAAGCATGCGCTAGGTCGACAAAATAAAGTTAATTGGCTGTGTATGAGTGTGTGTTTGTGTGTGTGTGAATGTGAGAGTGTGTGGGTGTTTCCCAGAATTGGGTTGCAGCTGTAAGGGTATCCGCTGCATAAAACATATGCTGGAATAATTGGTGGTTCATTCCACTGTGGCGAACGTTGATAAAAAAGGGACTAAGCCGAAGGAAAATGAATGAATGAATGAATGAATGAATGACAGCGCAATTTAATTTACATTTTATTTTAATTAGGCACGTTTTTGTATAGCAGTGGTTTGTTCTGTAGCCAATCAAAAAAACTATAATTCCTAGGGGCACTAATAATATTGAGATTAGCATTTGAATGTTTTATATATATATATATATATATATATATATATATACACACACACAACAGTTCTGTCTGGATCTCGAATTCGATTGGCTAATATCAACATTCGTACAGCCTCTTTACCCTTTGTATATTACTCCGCCGGTCCGCCCACACAGTCTCCCGCAAACATCCCATTTTTATTTCTTTCTAAAGCACTCCCGTAAGTTCACCCACCCCCCTCATGAGTACAGTCTGTAAACTAAACACCCCCGGGTTGCCAACTTTGGTACAGTACCCGATCAAAGCCCGAACCCAATGTATCCAGGTCTCAACCTCACCCCCGAGCACCCTCTCCCCCCCAGTCTCCCGGATTTTCAGAGACATGTTGACAGATTAGATGATCTCTCTTTTTGTATGTTGTAGTGTTGTATTTATACCGATTTGCTCGCATATCAGGAATGTGTGTTGTGTTGTTAAGCGTTTTTCCTTATCGCAAACACAACAGCAGTCTGGTAACGTTAGTGGATTCGTTGTTATTTCGTGGTTAATTATTGTGAAATCCTGAATGCTACAGAGAAATACTGTAGACTGTAACACTTTAAGAAGATATCTCTGTAGATGGATGGCATTTCATGTCACGTTCAGCCTTATAATCTTAAAGTGTAAGTAAAATCAGCAGTTTTGTCATCACTTTAGACATAGAGTCATTCAAACACTAGCTGTAAAATGACGTTGGTGCATTAGTAATGGCTTCTGCTGTTTTGACGTCAACTGCAGATGTGAATAAATGATGGAAAAAAGTAGTTTCTAATAAAAACAACAAAGTGTTTTTAGACTATCCGTGTTTGATTTTCTTATTTATATACAGGATTGTGATGTTGAACTGTTGTATAAACGCAATATCACACTCGTAGCAGTGCGATATGGCCGTATATCAGCACTGCTACGAGTGTGATATTGCTCATATATATATCATACATAAATATATATGTATTTGCATACCCCTTGCATACATATATGTCTGCAAGGGGTATGCAAACTTTCTAGGACAAGATATTATATATTTTAAGCTAAAAATATACACTATAACATTAAATATTACTAATACTTCAAAATTCAATAATAAAAAAGGAAAATATTTAAATCTTAATTCAAAATGAGAGAAAAAAAAACAATAATAGACAAATATTTACTTTGATATTTTGCACTAAAATGCTATGCTCTTGGTAGACGGCTAATATTTTAGTCCAGGCAGAGAGCCTCAGATGACCTACAGATGTACACACTGAAACATGAATGTCAAACACTAATTCATCTTCAGCAATAAAGACAGAGCAGTGTTTTGAAGATAAGTCCTCATCTTCCAAATGAGAAGACAACTGTCAAATATTTAGATCTGGGCATAAACCATCCTCCAGAAAGAATCAACATCCTGAATATCCCAATTAAAAAAAAAACATGCAAGAGAAAACAAGTGTTTTTCCAAACTCACAACATTTTTGTGCATGAAAATGCATTTCTTATTCTGAAACATTTCAATCCTGGTGAATGTATGCATCAGTAATTTTGACTTAATTTGACATTATCTATTTGCATTTTGCATTTGCAAAGACTCTGCATTTACAGTATGTGCACTTGAGATTAATTGTATTATATGTTTGAAATATTATAGAACATCCATGATTTTTAGGGGGGGGAGCAACAACATTCAAATAAAGTGTGATAGATAAAAAAAAATCCAAAAAAATGCTGTTTACTGTAACAGAGAGACACATTTGTAAGCATTAACAAGTATGATTAAAACAATCAGCAGTAAATCAAAAGCAGAATACCTGCATTGTTGGAGTTTTATTTGTCCCTCTGGCCTTCTTATAAGCTTTTCATCAATAGACAGTTTAGACATTTCATCTTTCCAGATAAACATCAGCATAACAAAATGTACACAGCCAAATATCTGTGAAGCTGAAACAGATCATACCAGAGAGAACACAGTGATCAAACTGAGTGCCAGCAGAAAACACTTGTGTTAATAAAGCACAAGCATAAAACTTAACATTGCACATGAGAGATCGCAGCTTTTCATGTATTAAGGGATAGTTTGTTTAAAAAAATATGCTAATACCTTAATTTAAGATACAATTCACACTATTTACTAGTGGTTTATTACCCTCATATGGTTGCAACACAGGCTCATTCTGAAAATGTACTCCTATATACATTTCGGGAGATCGTGAATTATGTAGCCAGAGGTACGTATGGCTGTGTTTGATCTTTAAAACAAACACTACATGTTTTAATGACCACTACTTTTCACGCCTACCAGCTGACCACTTACCTCCATATTGATGACTTTTTTGCTGTTACCAATTTGTTCAGTGGCTCGCTGTGTACAATGGCAGACTTGTGATGTGGAGCAGAATTGACTGTGACGACTGGCGTAGAATGCTTCAGAAAGCAGGTATGACAAAAAAAAGACAAAAAAACAAGTATTAAATCAATTGGGGCAATCAGTGCTTTTGAAAACACTATTGGTTGGGTTTAGGGAAGGAGGAGGCTGGATCAATGGATCAGTCAGTCAGTCAACAGCGGCCTCTGGTGGATTTACGCAAGAAATGAAAGAATGGCATTCAAAAAGAAATTTGAGATCTGAAAAAGCGCACACAGCGGATTCTGATGGATTCACGAAAACAAATATTGCATACAAACGTAGCTCCTGGGATATATTTGGCGCTCTCCAGAAATGCATACAGGAGTACATATTCAGAATGAGCCTGGGTTGATATTATTGTGATATCGGCTGTTTGTTAGTACCAATAAAGCACATATTCTGCATCTTTAAGATTCTACATCCCTAATCATAATACCTAAATTTACTGTAACTACTACCTTAATAATTACTGATAAGCAGAAAATATGAGCATATTGAGGCAAAAGTCATAGTGAATAGTTTATTAATAGCGAGAATGAAAGTGTCGACAAATGTACTCACTGTTTACTAAATTAAGTAGTATGACTTAAGGGTTTGGCAAAGCAGTGGCACAGTAGGTAGTGCTGTCGCCAGCAAGGAGGTCACTGGGTTGCTGGTTCGAGCCTCGGCTCAGTTGGCGTTTCTGTGTGGAGTTTGCATGTTCTCCCTGCATTCGCGTGGGTTTCCTCCGGGTGTTCCGGTTTCCCCCACAGTCCAAACACATACGGTACAGGTGAATTGGGTAGGCTAAATTGTCCGTAGTGTATGAGTGTGTGTGTGAATGTGTGTGTGTGGATGTTTCCCAGAGATGGGTTGCGGCTGGAAGGGCATCCGCTGCGTAAAAACTTGCTGGATAAGTTGGTGGTTCATTCCGCTGTGGCGACCCCGGATTAATAAAGGGACTAAGCCGACTAGAAAATGAATGAATGAGTTAAG